CCCAATCCACTTGTCAGAAAGAATTAAAACAGGAGTTTACAATGTTTATAACTATAAACAGCCCAGCAACACTACAAATATGATCTCATTCAGAAATTATTTGCTATTTGTCAAAGCCATTTCAGAAGACTGGAAGTTGGCCTGTGGAATTCACACACAGGGCAGTTCTGCAGTAACTAGTTAATCAGCTGAGGTGGTACTGTGCCCCAAGATAGCCTAAATGTGCTAAAAATGGGCTGTTGCCACATATGGCAAATAACTTCTGCTGAAGACCATGGCTAAAGTATTATTTCTCCCCTAGACTAGACTGTAATGTAGATTTTATATAATGTCCATTTAATCCAATGGAAACTCTGTCTACTGAGACTAAAGATTCTGATTCCAGAGTTGTTCTCCACCGAAATCATGGCTAGCAACAACTCTTTTCTTTAAAACAAATACTTGCTACTTTCTTCACTCAGAAGACCCAAGAAAAACAGCAGATCCCTAGCACCATTAACTGAACAAATCTGACGCAAAACACCTACTGAACTTCCTCAGGAGGATACCTTCAACTAGACGCAAACAATGTTTCCATTATACTGGAACCGGTTTGTCATTCATTGTATTCACATGAGTGTGCTCTTAACCTCCGGATCTGGAATGGAACCAGGATGTGACAGCATCCCCAGGGTGTATAGAGTAATTCTGATATCACTGTTTAAAAGTTCAACTGAATCAGCATTTCAGCCTAGTAGTTATCCACCAGATGTCATAATTTAACTTCAAGTAGACAGGCATTATCTTTCCTCAAAATGAATACTGCTCATATACTTCAATGAGGGATTAAACTTAATGTTACCCCCCAATAGTGGTTTTTTTAATGTTCTTAATGTTAGAAAATGCATAACATGATTTCCTAATGATTCATCCAGCCAGAAATTATTTTGGTAAAAAAGAAAAGTCACAAAACTCCCTTCCTTCATTTAGCATCACCCAGCCTCGGTAAAAGCTTTGGACATCAACAGTCTTAAGAGACCAAAGTGAACAAGATATCACAAGTGAAGTTGCATTAAAAATTACTCCAGTAACAAACGGGTTTGACGTATGTTTTACCTGGACTCTTACTGAAACCCAGGCAAAAACAACACTGACCACAAATTACCTTAAGCATACAGTTCCACAAGTACAGATGAATAACTTATTGGGACTCGTTTGCCTAAGATATGTTGTGAATACCTAAATTATAGCCTAACACCTTCTGAGCATGTATGATGTAAATCTCTTGTGCTCATTACAGTAGCGTCGTCAGACGCAGAGATCAACACATCCCAACAGCATAACTATTGTCACCTTCTATTTGTCATTTCAGTACTAATAAAGAAGCCAGTGCTGTTCTGCAAACACAGTTCCTAATGCTGGTAAAATCACTAACAACAATGTAATAAGAGAAATATGTACCTCCTTTAAAGTTATACTGCATTTTTCATAGAAATTAAGTAGGAAAATTCTGTGGAACAAACTGTGGACAACTGATAAACTTCTCCTATTGCACCAAGAAAGGCTAAGAAATAAAGCAGACCCAAGTGGCATCACCCACCCTTTCTGGGATAGCTTTTAAAAAGGAAGGCAAGATAATTTTATCAAATTTATCTCTTTAACTCTCTTATGAATAAAACAGTAACATAGAAAATGACAAATGTAAAACTGCCCACAGGCAGTAATTTCAATCCATTCTTCAGCAATTAACCTTTCCATTAAGGCTGACAAAGGAGGGGGGGGGAGCCTATCTAATCTGAAAGAACACCTCAAATATTTATCTTGTGATTCCTAGGATAACACAAATGTAGTTCTTTCATATAAGCAATTATTCCTGTCCTCCTCCCTCTGCAAATCATAACAAGATAGTGGCTCCTATTATTCACATCTTTGAGTACTTCACTACATGTTAGCCTCAAAAGCCCAACCCTTGCAAACACTTATCTAGAAATCTTGTATTTACATTAAATATAAATTATTCTAATTGTATATTTAAATTAAATTACCTATTTCACAGGAACTATTCACAAGGACAAGTCAAACCCGTAAATACAGCCGCTGGTTTGTAAATGTTAGTGGTGTTCTAACTGTAACAGGCAAGATATTCAAATTGTTGGGGTTTTTTGTTTCTTTTTTGTTTGGGGGGGGATGGGGGGGGTTTAAAATCATCATTTTTCATTATATACTGCTGAGATGAGAAACTCTAAAGTAGTTTCCCTCACCCTTTCATTGAAAACAATGCAATGAAAGCTTGAGTTCAAGCCACTACTGAAGCACTCACATTTATTTCAACATCTGCATTATATTAAAAATGGAACAGAAGGGTATGAACATCCTCCAACTACTTCACCAGTTAAAGCAACAAAATACCTAGTGAAAAAAAAGAACCAGTGTCCAATTAAGTATTATGTAAAAAGATTAAACTAATAGAATTATTAAGAAAGAACACACAGTAGGTCCAGAAAAGAACACAGAGGAAGTCTATTCAATAATGAAAAAGCCATACCAAGAAATACCGTGAAGTAACTCTTCAAGGTAGTTTTCAAAGAGCAAAACAACCTACATAAAAACAGAGAAGCCTGATAGGACCAAAACTTCATTTCGGTTAGTTTGATTTCAAACAATCAAACAGCTTCACCAGTCTCACAAGTTCTAGCAATATTATAAAGCTCAACTGGTATGTATAGAGACATTACTCTTCTTCTGCTGGTTACCCTGTATACCTCAAAACCTAGTGGCAGAGTTGAAAAAAGAAAGGGAACACAGGAAACACTAAGTGAAAGATCTAGCCACTCCTTCTCACCTAAAGAACAAACCAACCTTCTGAAGGTCCCAGACAGACAACTGTGGCATGAAGTCGCATTACATAGTGTTTTGCATGCCCCAAGCAAGGCTCCGCACCACGGAACGGCTCTGCTAAAACCACCTGCAGGCTGACAGGCGCTGCAGCCCCCTGTTGTGTTTCAGCCACATCAATCTGGTGCTTCGCTGCACCAGCCAGCTGGTCAGTCACTAACAAAAAGCTACGCTTTTAAAACTGGTCTGAGTTCAGATGGCACTACTTTGGTTTCCGAGCCACGTATTTTTCTAGCTACTTTCTGGCCAAATACTTTAAACCTTTAAATTAACAATACCGGAGAGCAATTTTAAGGCCAGCGTCACTCCCACCACCAACAGCAGAAGCTGAAGAAATACATTAGAACAGGCCCGCAAGACTTGAATGAACTCTTTGGGTGTCTGTATCTAAAAAGGACTTCACAGAAGGCAACAACGCTGGCACGGAGGCACTATCCCGGCCCGCTAAAAGCCAGAAGTTAACAAGCGTTTAAAAAGTCAGCGCGCCCCTTTCCCGAACAAAGGCGTCCACGGCAAGACCACGGAGACGGGAG